AATGCTCCTACTATACAGCCTTGTACAAAAGTAAGATTGAATAAATGCTTTTTTGATGCTAATTATGAATTCTGACATATAACAACCAAATCGTGCTCCGACACAATAGTGTGAGATTCATCCAACTCTTGATTATCCATGGAAATAGTAAGGGAAATTGAAATACACAGACAAACACAAACCTCATTTTACAAATAGCTTCAATCTCCTCCCTCAGCAAACCTTTACCTATAGCTAATAACACAATTAGGTTGACAAGTTTGAGGTTGATTTCCCAAACCTCCCCACCAAACTCTGGTTGAGGTACTGCTGAGCAGAAAATGATTTCAAAAAATAGGTGACAGTATTAATACAATGAAGAGTAGACTAAAGTATAACATTGCTTGTTTTTAATTTGGCGACTATATTATTGTATGTGCATGTGGTGTTTAATATGTGCTTTTTAATGACACAGATACATGGTGATAAAAATATATTGTCCACCCCAGTCTTCATCTCTTGCAGACCTATGTCACAATCCTGGGTGTTGCTTAGCTACCTTCATACCTCTCTAGTGTTTAGAGCATTACTTAATGTTATTCATTCATTTATTATAAGTCAGCCAATAAACTTCTACTGGTAAGTCAGCCAATAAACTTCTACTGGTAAGGATGAACACAGAGTCCATTAAAAATATAGCAGATCCAGCATGAAATTGAAATAGATATATACTATATAAATATATATAATATACATATATATATATATTGTATATGTATTTAGTTACAGTAGCCTTGGCTGTCTTCACAAGCCTTCAGAAATGCTCAGATCACTTGATCCATTTACAAAGATGTTACCTCTTTATTCAAGGGAAGGGTACTGAGATACGGAAATAAGAAAATAACTTGGCACCTTTATTTTGCAGCAGCACCACACAGGATTTAAGTGCAGAGTAGTTGTACAAATCAGTTTGAATGGGGATACTTTTAAGAACTGAAACTCTACTAGTACTGGTGCTTTACCAATATCCATTTCCTATTTCTCTTACCAAGTGAACCTGCATGTGTTTGGGACAGCTATGTTCCCAGTAAACTTTCTCATCCGCCCAGATTCTTTTAATCAGATCATACATGCTTTTTGCCTTTCTTTCTTCCTCTTTTTGCTTAGAATGCAGAAAAATGCATGGATCATAGGAAAAAACACACACACTAAGGATGATAGACAGGAAAGACAGAGGAAATTGGGTTCTTATGGAATGGCAGAGCCAGGGAACTAGCCTTGGCCTACTGCTTCCCAAGAGGAAAACTCATCCCTATTTAGTTAAGCTCTTGTAATAGGGTTCCTGTTACATACAGGGAAAATCAATCAAGTGCTACACAGATTTCTTAGAGTACTTTCTCTGCAGATACAGGATCCTGACTCCCTGCTTTGGCAGTCACTTTTATGCTACTGGCACATTCCTGAAGTTAGGACACACTCCGGCCATAGTTTCTTGCAGCTACTGGTTATGTATGTTTGTCAGTCTTCTCAGGCCACACTGCTGTTAAGATGCCATTCACAGGGAACCAGCAGTTAGCGTAATGGCTATGTCTCTGGACTCCCACGTGGTTGACCGTGGTTCATGTCCCGGACCCAGTGGCTTAAACTCATGCCGGGCGCGTGTGCGTGCGTGCCCAAGATCCTGAGAGGAGAATGGAGGAGAAGGGATTGCGGCGTGGCCATCCCCCCTGGGGGGTGATTTCTCGCTTTCTGTCTCTATGTCTCTCTCTGTCTGTCTGGCGAGCACACGCACCCTATAGTAAAAAACCTCTCCAAAAAAAAAAAAGATGCCGTTCACAGAGCCCAAGAACTTCCATCAGTTCTTAGTTGCCTGATAATTTTCATATTGGTTTCTTTCTTTCTTTTTTTTTTTTGGAGAGGTTTTTGCTATAGGGCGTGTGCGCTCACCAGAAAGACAGAGACAGAGAAACAGAAAATGAGAACATATTGGTTTCTTTTACTACTTTGCTAGTGGCATTAAGAACCATCGGAAAACTTATAATTTATTATTAGAGTGAAATATGTATATATTATATAAATATTTATTTAAACATATACATATATATGCATATATTTAAATATATAACATATACATTTATTTAAATATATGTTATTATATACATATATTTATATATAACATATACATTTATTTAAATATGTATACAATGTGTATATATTTTACATCTATATTATATACATATATATTTAAGTATATATGTAAATATTTCCAGTATATACATTCAAATCAACTTTATGTAGAACAGTGCTGAGCAGAGTAGGCCTATGCCTGTTTTTTTTTTAAAACTGGAGCTCTGTGCTTTCTATGGGACAACCTTAAAGTTCCACTGTGACTGCCAGTAGCCTGCCAGAACTATGGATAACCAAGCTTTCTAATGCCTGTTAGAAGTGGGGCATTATAAGATGCAGCTGGAAAACAAAATATGATGATGATCACAAGGAGGTCATGAATTTAGCTACTGTTCAATGCCCCCCTTTATCTTCTTATGAAACGTCTTAGAGTTTTGAGGCTCAGAACTTACAGCACTCACTGTCGCACATAAACATGCTCTGTGTACGTGTAGGTACCCAGGTGGCCGTGCGTTCACAGAGGGTGGAGACCACCTGTTTCCTTAGGGTCTGCCACGTGGAGGGGGCACAGGGCATACTGATTGAATCAAATGGGTTGAGATCAGAAGAGAATGGGTATAAGAAATTTAGAATTGCAGCCTTTTCTTTTCATTTTCTTGTGGCTTTCCAGCGAGAGAGAAAGGTAGCATAAATAGAAATAGGGCAGATACAGAGGTTTTGGCACTTGTTTTTAGGAGGTTGTAAATAAATCCCAGAAAACCCTGAACAAACCAGGAAAGATAAACAAGTTGTGCTTAGCTTGGGAGAAGCCTAGACAGCAAAACTCTCATGAAAAAGAATTAATAACCAGTAGGAGAAAATCTCTAATTGTTTAGCATGTCTATATATCCATAAATTAGGCTTTAAATACCTTATGGGCATACTATGTAACCATTGCCTTCTTTAGTTTATATGCTAATTTCTTAATAATTTCTGAGTATTTTAATAAAAATTTCTGTTTCTGTAAGAAAAGTTTAATTGAATGGGGAAACGTATAATAGTCATAGATAATTATGACTAGAGGAAACTTGCTGTTTGGACCACCGGCTCACAACAAAGACATCATTATTCATTAGAGATAAATTATTTGTGAGGAAATAACTCTCGATTGTGTGCAATTTTAGTCTATAAACAGACAGTAAACATCATAGGGTATAACTGTCTTCATTTGCCAGATAAACAATTCTGCCTGCTGCTCTTTGTAAGGAGAGCTGCCATTGAACTGTCCTTTTAATAACCTTCAGGGTTTTTTTCTAATAATTATTGTATTTAACTTTATTTATTATTATTATTATTAATTTTTAATTTGACCAGAGATAGAGAGAGACAGAGAGGGAAAGTGAGGAAACAAGCCTCCAGGTCCGGGAGGCAAACCACAGTCTAGCGCCCCCTAACCACCACGCCACCTGCCGGCCCAGATCTTTGGGGCTTTTCAGTATTAGACACAGGTTTATGGCGTATGTGATCTGTTAACCAGTGTATAAAAGGCTTCCATTTTCTCCCCATCTGGAACTCAGCTAGATTCCTGGCTTCATGGGGGGCAGCTTTTGCAGGTGATGAAGAACCACACAGCATCCCAAAGCAGAGTTTCAGAAAGCCCACTGCAGAGTTCACCTGCTTGAGGATTGGACCTCCCTTGGGCAAATTGGTCAGTCTTACTAAAAAACAATACAGAACAAAGTAACAGGGAAAAAAATATCCAAGTTCCCATCACTTCAATGGTGGCAAGATGACCATTTAATTAGCTTTCAAGACTGACCAAATGCAATAATCTTTATTTTCAATACATTTAGGTAGCCTAGCGCTTTCCAAACTGTGGATGTTTTCAAGCAACAATGAAGAACATTCTTTCTTACATGAAAGCAAGGGCTTAGGAACACTGTGGAACACATCTTACTTGTACAGTAGGGGGGTCCGAAATGGAAACAGAAAAAACAACTCCAAGGGTGTCTGTTTAGAGCCTTGCTAACTTAGGAATTCAGCCGTAACCAGGAAGGTGACATGTTCTCTGGGCATGCACTGGGCTGGGCCCAGGACGCCTGAATTGTTTCCACCTGGCACTGAGCGGCTGGGGGACAGAGGGCAGTGTGCTTCTCCATGGAGGTCTGGCCGGTTAAAGGATGCTCTCCCCATCTGAGTAGATGAAGCACCCTTGACACAGATCAGACCGTGGCATTCTCATCACGCTCTCGGGAAACTCTTACAACTGCCTACAATTCACCATGGCGCAGCCAATCCTGTGCCTCTCAGCCCTTCCACTAGTTCATTCTCATGAGGCAGTTTGTCACCCTTTCTTCCTCCGAAGCGTCACAGAGAAAGAATCTTTTGGACACCCCATTCTCTTATGTTCTCATATGTTTACTTTCCTTCTGTCTGTCTACAAACATTCCCATGGGCTTTTCCTTTCTTCTCTTGATGTCATTTTGACACCATGTTTTATATGTCCTAGAAACCTCTTACTTTCTCTCCACAGTCCTGATTTTGCCAGATTACTTTCCTACACAGCCTCTGCCCTTCTTCTGGTTTCTCTATTACCATCTGGCTCCTGATTTCTTGAAACTCATTTTATCACCTGGATTTATCATTTCCTAACCCTCCCACATCTGATTAATTTTCCTAAATTGTTGCTATTGGGTCTCTTTCCAGTTTCCTTCCTTTGATCTGCACAAGAAGCTGGAGGTGGGGAGAGACCCTTGCGCTGGTAGTGGCAAGACCGGAGCGGGTGCAGTGCCTGTGTGAGTGCGGGCCTTACTTCATTTCTCTCATTCTGTCTTTTTTCCCGCAACAAGAGAGGAGATTCTCTCTGGCTCAAAAATTGTCCTGATTTTAAGATTTCTTTGTACTTACAGAGAGGAGTCACAGAAACTTACATTGTGATTCTTGCACCAGAAAAACTAACAGCAATGTACAAGATATTCGCTTAGCAAAAACGGGAACTGCAGGTTTGTTTGATAACATGACAAAGAGAAGGAATTTTGGACTCAGGGGAGTCTATTGGCTTTTCTGACTCAGGAGCAAGCTCCTGGTTTATTAGATTGGATTAAAGCTGGTCAAGTTAAATAGATCCAATTGTACTTAGCAAATGAAGTAAACATGAGGTTCTCTCTGCCTTTCCCATCACGGAGGTGCAGGACCAAAGTTTCCATTCTGTAATAATGTTAAATAACCATGACCTTTATTTTAAACAAAAACCATTGTGGAAAGTGATCCAGGATACGAAAAAAAGAATGCATTATTTTACATAGCCGACACGGTGCATTTGAGGCATAAAACATTGCACACACTATAAACAAATGAAAAGTCTGAGTCAGTCCTGTTAGGCCAGGCCATGATGGATTGCAAACCCAGGGTTGTAAAATAAGTAACAGTCTGGAACCATGGTTTATCAACAGTTTTATTTTCCTGAGACAACTTTATCCTAGAGAGCTGGGAAAGTGTGGCGCCTCGATTGGAAGAGGATCGTGTATCCTGTGATTTTCGAAGCATTTTCAGTTTCATCGTCTAAGGTTTGCACTCAACCAAGTTGCTTTCTCAAACTCCCGCACAAAAATGTATTTGGACATAACAGCTTTCAGAGATTTTATTAGCCCCTCGGGTGAACCCTGAGAAAAATACACTCGAAAATGGACGCTGCACACTGGAATGCGTTATTTTGATTCTAAAAAGAAAAAGAAAAAAAAAAAAAGCCTACAACATCTGAAATGCCCAGCTTACCTTTTCGGATTGCTTTCTCTTAGAGGGAAGGGAATTGGTGGGGTGGGAAACATTTTTATTTTGCCTCTTGTTCTTTTCTGAATAGTCATTTTAAAGTGCATAATAAACTCATCCCTTTCAAGACCCATTCTTTTTTGTGCCCGGTGGGAAGAAAGGGGAGGAGGAGGGCCTGCGTTTTTACAGCGCCATTCCCTATTTTTCCTCCTGGGCTTCGCTGGCACCTCTCACCTTCCTTCCTAAAAAGAAACTCCCAACTGCCCAGAATCCCAAACCTATCTGAGCGCGGGGATACGCAGCCGACTGGCATTTGAGCCACCCAGCACCTTCCCCAGCCGGCTAGCGAATTGTTTCGCAGTTAATTCAGCGTCAAGGAGGTGGGCGCTGGCTGATGGCGCATCCTGGGCCTCGCGCCGCAAAGGCGCGGGCAGGTGGCACCCCGGGTCGGAGAGCCAGGGAGCCAGGGGGCCTGGGCGGCCGTCGCGCGGCTCGCGGCCGGAACCACAGGCGGCGGCGAAGTGGTTAAGGAGCGTTCCCAGGGCTGCGGGGCGCGGGCGGGCCGGGCGGAGGCGCGCT